AGAAGCAAACAAGCAAAAACAGAGAAAGAGAAGAGAGAAGGAACAAAGGAAAAAAGAAAAACCACAAAAAAAATTTATTATTTTTTAAAAAGAGCACTAAAGCACTAGTTCTCAACTCCAATGGAGGAGTCTTTTTTTGTGTTTTTTTGTTTGTTTGTTTGTTTGTTTGTTTTGTTTTTTTTTTTGGAGAGGTTTTCTTTTTGGAGAGGTTTTTGATATAGGGCGCATGCACTAGCCAGAAAGACAGAGAGAGACAAAAAGCGAGAAATCACCCCCCAGGGGGGATAGACACATTGCAATCCCTTCTCCTCCACTCTCCTCTTGGGATCTTAGGCACGCACACACAGGCATCCAGCATGAGTTTAAGCCACCAGGCCTGGGACTCAAACCACGGTCGACTACATGGGAGTCCAGAGATAAAGCCATTACATCAACTGCTGGTCCGAAGGAGTCTTCTGAAGGTCTGCACTTTTGCCTCTTCTAATTAGGAAGGAAGACAGAGATTATTAGCAAGATAAAGGAGAATCTGAAAGCCAGGAAAATACCTTAAAAATTTTTTTAAAGAATTTTTTTAAAACAATGAAAAGACAGGGAGAAAGATATAGGGGGCTCTACCACTTGGGAATGGGGTCTGGAGGATGAAGTCTCAGCAGAAAATCTTCCTTACTCTCAGTTCCTGAAAGCACTAGTTCTCAGCTCCAGTCAATTCATCATAATTTATGCACCAATGCTCTAATATTTTTAAAGAGCTTTTTACAAAAAAAAAAAAAAAAACTTTATTTCTGTTGATTTATCCAGTAAAGTTGGAATTTTCTATTACTATTCTATTTTCTATTTCTATTACTGTGTGAATTTTTTCCTCTTTCTCCCTGCTGAAAACTGGCATCAAGAAGATTTAGTACTTTTCCTTCACATCTCCCTATTGCTGCAACAAGATAAGTACCAAGAGGGGGACATTTAGTAAAAGTAAGGGCAGAGAAAGATTTTAGAAATAAACCAAATAGACAACAGGTTAAGAGGCAGCTTGGCAATGCAAAGGATCTAAGTCATAGTCACTTCACCTATAGGATGAGACCCCCTCAAACACCTCCTTCCAGGGGGGAATTGGACAGAAATTACAGCTCAGAAAACCCAGAACAAGAAAATGTGGGGCCCTAGATTAAAGGGATTTAGCAACCGTGGAAAAATTTTAATTAGAAAAAAAAAGTTTATTTATTATTTTATCCTTTGTATATTTTATCCTACAAAGGATAAAATAATATATAAACATAAATTTTTATTTCCATGAAAGATAGGATTCTCGCCTTTGAAGAACCAGTGAGAATGAGTGACTATACCCATGCCCATAAGGAGTCTATGAGCGGTGAAATACATGGCACTGACCAGAAGGACTATTTCTCCATCTTTGTGGGCATTTTGTGTGTGCTTGATTAATTCATGTTAGATTGCTTAATAAAATACTATCTCTCCCCAACTTCTTCCACTCTGAAGCAGGTACTTGTTGGACTACAGATGGAGAAAATGCATATAATAAGTACCTCTGTAAGATTGAAACATCACGCTGTACCTCATAAATATGTACAACTATTTGTGTCAATTAAAAATAAAAGTAAAATAGAAAAATGAGTATCAACACATTTATCACAACTCAAATCAGACTTTGTGTCAGCAAGCATCTCCTAGTTAATTACTGATCATTCGCCCCCTCTGTACTCTGTCTGTGCCATACACTGTAATTGTGATCTCATTTGCTTTCGATGTACTGTCTCCCCAAACTAATTGCAGCTGGTTATGCCAATACGATCTTTAGAAACATGCTTAGTGAAGTTTTTACATTATGCCAAACAAATGGGTACTAGAAGAGTCTGCTACAAGTTAAGAGTTAACAATTCTCATATTTGATTAAATCTGCCTTTGAACCATTACATAACTAAGCATATTTAAATTTGTTTAGTCTCAACACATTATTCTAAGAGCTTTAAAGAAAGTAAAGTTGATAGTACACATATGATATAGTCTAAAATAAAATTATCTTCCCTCATGTTTCTCTCTCACCCTCTAGTTTTGTTAATATTGCCAGCACATTCCACATCACCAAAACTCACATTCATCATGATCCTTTATGCTTCCCTATTCTGCTTATTGGAACCAGACACCAACCCTGTCCACGTCTGCTTCAGTACCGTAGTAAATTTGCAAAGAACATTTAGAAAATACTTGGCAGACTTTCTAGCATATTGATGGGAAACTATTACTAATTATATCATAAATACTTCTCTATCTTCTGTCAATTAAGGACATAAGAACTTGACTTTCCACTGTCACTTGCCGAAAGTATAGAAAAGGTTCACAGAAGTAGGAAGGAACACTATCCAATAAACTGCTCTGTGTCCTTAATAACTTAATGCATCAGAGATTAAATTTAGAAATCAGTAAAACAGTGATGCTAATAATAATTACCATATCTCATAGGGCTGTTGAGGATAAAATGAGATATAAAGTTAAAACTGCTTCAAAAAAAATAAATCCATATATACACATATCCATTCTGTTTTAAACTACAAAATACAATAAGAAGAAGGGTTGCATGATGAGTCTAAGATGAAACTCTATTAATTGTGAAGAGAAGTTTCAGAAATGTCTAAGAAAGATCATATAGAAAATATGATTTCATCTGTGGCTTAACACCCAGCGAAAAGCCAGAATCCATGTGCATCTGAGGTGGGCCTAGCCCTGCCTCTTTAACCAGAAAGTTTCTGCCCTAAACCTAACCTTCCAGCCCAGCACCTGGCAAAAATCCAGGTCATCTCCTTCTGCATGCTTCTAACACTCAGAATTAACTTCAAAAAGGTAGGAAGTTACGTGTAACTCATCAGATGGCCAGAAACCACCACAGAGGCACAAGAAATATTCTCTCTCAAGGGAAAGAATAGCCCTTCATCATCCACAGACAATACAATGGCACTTGTGGAAATGCCAGATAAAAAATTTAGGATATTCATAGTGATAAAGTTAACAGAGATGCAAGAGAAGAGAGACAACAAACTCCAGAAAATGCAGGAGAAAAGAGACAATAATTCCAAGAGGTGGGAAAGTTGTTCCTTGATCTGAAAAAAGGATATACGTAACATAAAAAAGAATCAAACAGAACTGTTAGAGATGAAGGCTGCAACACAGGACATCAAAACCTTCCTGAAAGTATTAAAAGCAGATTAGATCGTGCAGAAAATCAAATCTCAGATGTAGAAGACAAAACCTCTGACCTAGGAAAAGTCACCAAAAAGACTGAGAAAATAACCAAAAAAAATGAGAATAATATACAAGTAATACTAGATACCATTAGATGTCCAAATAACCAGATAATTGGTATCTCAGAAGGTGAAGAAACTAATCAGGGCATTGATAATTTACTCCACAAAATCCTGGAAGAAAACTTTCCAAACCTAGAGATGCATTTAAATATCCAGACTCAAGAAATAAAAAGGACACCACATAGAATCAACCCAAGAAGATTTTCTCTAAGGCACATCATAGCCAGATTGACCAAAATCACAGACAGACAAGATACTAAAATTGGCAAGAGAAAAACATCAAGTTAATTTCTAAGGATATTCCATCAGTCTAACATCCAACCTCTCATCAGATATAATGCAAGCAAGGAAAGAATGGGAAAATATATTCAAAGTGTTAAGTGAAAAAAATTTCAACCAAAAAAACTATATCCAGTAAGATTATCCTTCATATGGGAAGAAAAGATAAAAACATTTTCAGATAAGCAAAACCTGAATTTACCAACACTAACCCATCTCTTTGAAAAGTTCTGAAGGGAGTACTATACTAGGAAAACTAAAGACAGACAAATAAGAGAACAAAAAATTACCAAGAAAAGGGCCAATTTAATAGTAGGGACAAGTTCTGAAATATCAATAATAATGTTGAATGTTAACAGAAAGGTCAGACCACAGTTAACACTGCAAATTCAACAAAAGAAAGATTACCTGAGACTGAACTGGCAAAACAGAATTTTATGACTTTTCTAAAACATTACTGATTTTCTTCTATGCTTTGTCTTCCAGATTTAAGGAATTTTGTTTTCTTTTGAGTTGTTGGTAAGTTCAGCAATTTGGCTAAAAAAAAAAAAAAAAGAATTTTTTAAAATTAAAACATAAACTTTTCTCCCTTCCTGACTCCTTTGCAATTGGAAATCATTTGTGAGGATTCTTATTTTGTGGCAGAATGGTTATTTGCATAAGTTCAACGATACAATAGTATCTGTTCCCCTACACCAGAAATTGAATTCTTACGGGGCTTTGGGCAAATAACAGATTCAATTGAGATTTTTTTTTTTTTTTTTTTGGAGAGGTTTTTGCTATAGGGCGCATGTGCCCACCAGAAAGAAAGAGACAGAGACAGAAATCGAGAAATCACACCCCCACACACACACACCCACACCCCCAGAGGATGGCCATACTGCAGTCCCTTCTCCTCCATCCTCCTCTTGGGATCTTGGGCACACACACATGAGCCTGCTGTGAGTTTAAGCCACTGGGTCCGGGACTCAAACCGTATTTGACTTACATGGAAGTCCAGCGACATAGCCATTATGCCAACTGCTGATCACCAGACTAAATTGAGATTAACCTAATTTTTTTTTCCAAATAAGTTAGGAAAAGGGGGAATGGAAAGAGGAAAAAAAAATGTTTCAGAAGAAAATTACAGTGCTTGTCACTATATTCTAGCTTTGTTCATACTTTTAGTTTAAGATCTTTTTTAAGTCCATAATCTGTGAAAAAAAGTTTAGTATGGAAGGGAGAAAGGGGAAAGTGGAAGGTAAAAGTATGCCTAATTGACAAAAACGAGAAGCTATTTGCAGATGATTATGTATATAGTAATATCCTTGTCTTGACTGACATGCATGGTATCGTGTTGGAAAAAGAAATGTTTACTATAAAGACACGTGATTAAATGTAAATAGTTTTTAATGTTGTTTTATCTCACAGTAACAATGATTTGCAAAACTTCTGACAGCGAAGGTGTGGCAACATACAGCCAAGGTTCTTCCACACTCTAATGAAATGATCACTCTTTGAAAAAAAAATCCTAATTACATATGTTTTTTTCTTTCTTATGAAGATCAGGGTTCTAGTCATATGTAAAGGACTAAATCATAATGAAGGTGCATGCGGGTGCGTGCCCAAAATCCTGAAAGAAGAAATGGAAAAGGGATTGCATCCTGACCATGCCTCATGGTGGGGATGCTTTCTCACTTTTCCATCTCTCTCTCTCTCTGTTTCTCTCCTCCAGCGAGAGCATGTGACCTTCAGCAACATTTTTAATGAAGGGTTATAAACATTTTTCAGTATAGACAGGTATTTTTATGTTTTTACTTTTAAAAAATTTGACTTACAAAAGATAGCAAATTTCCACATATTCTTTAACAAGTTTCTCAAAATATTAACATCTTATATTACCACAGTACAATTGTTAAAACTAAGAAGTACAATATAATTGACTAAACTACTTTCTTTGGGTTTCACCTGTTTTTCTACTCTTGTCCTTTTTCTGTTCCAGAATCCCACTTTTATTTAGTTGCCATATATCCATAGCCTTTTCCAACCAGTGATATGATTCCTGGATTTTTCTTTAACAACCTTTACTCCTTTGAAAAGTATTTGTGTTTTGAAGGATTATTGGTTAGGCATATTGCGGACTATCCCTCTATTCAGGATTTTCTGATATTTTCTCATGATTCAATTGAGGTTACAGATTTCAAGGAAGATACCACAGAGGTGACCTGCCCTTCTCAGTGCTTCATTCAGGAGGTAAATGGTATCAATATATCTAACTTCTGGCATTGTTTAAGTGATATCTCATATCCTTCCTCATTAATACATTTACTGTCTATCTCTAGGGAATTAATAAATATTCAGAAGAAATATTTTTAGATTATGCCAGTATCCTATTTCTCCTTTAATTTTTTTTAAGTTTATTAATTAATTTTTTCCATGAGAGAAAGAGAGGCACTCCCAACAGTGTGGATATACTAATCATCCTAATTTCTTCATCAATATACTTGATATTCTTGTACCAAAAAAAAAAAAAATCACATTACACCCCCACAGACATGTACAATTATTACATATCAATTGAGGGGAAAAAAGGAAACTTAGATGCTGATTCAGGGATGCAGAGAATAGACCAGGGATTCTGATTTACTTATAATTTCCAAGTGATGCCAATGTTACTGAACCTCAGGCCTACAGTTTCAACTCAGACCAAATGTAACCATACTGTGAGAGTAGCTATGTGCTGCATGTAACTGATTATAAAACAGCACAAACCTCTTTGGAAAGTATGTAGCTATGGAGCTCACATCAGTGTTTCCTGGCCCTAGCTGCATGGTAAAATTTCTGGCAAACTACCAAAAATCTATGCCCAGATCCCATTCCAGATCAATTAAATTAAAATCTCTAGAAGTGGGGCTCACTAATATTTCAATCAAAACATATAATGAATATTTTCTTAAATAAATAAAACTAATTGCATGGGTAAAAATAAAATATAACATAGATGTTAAAAATATAACAGAGGGGAGACCAGCAGATGGTGTAGTGGTTACGTGACAGGATTCTCACATAGTCAATCATGGTTCAAGTCTCAGATCTAGTGGCTTAAAACACACTGGGCACATGTGCATGTGTGCCCAAAATCCAAAGAGGAGAATGGAGGAAACGGGCTGTGGCATGACCATCCCCCTAGGGGATGAGTTCTCACTCTCAGTTTCTCTGTCTCTCTCTGGTGAGCACATGTGCCCTATAGCAAAAATCTCTTTTAAAAAAATATAATAATGCAAACTATGTATAGTATAATTTTAGTTATTGGTTCTTTTTTTAAGCCTTTTGTATAAAAATTATTTTTATTTAATTTTTTTTAGAGAGATTTTTGCTATAGGGCATGTGTGCTCACTGGAGAGACAGAGCCAGAAAGCGAGAAATCACCCTCCACACAGGATGGCCATGTCACAATCTCTTCTCCTAAATTCTCTTGAGATCTTGGGCACACACCCACACACGCCCAGCATGAATTTTAAGCCGCAGGGTCCAGGACTCAAACCACAGTCGATTATGTGGAAGTCCAGCTACATAACTGCTATGCCATCTGCTGGTCCTTATTATTATTTTTTAATTCGATCAGAGAGAGACGGAGAGAGAGGAAAAGTGAGAAAGCAAGCTGCCAGGTCTGGGACTCAAACTATGGTCAGTCACGTGGGATTCCCACACTTCAACCATCACACCGTCTCCTGGCCTCTAGTTATTGATTCTTAATTCAATAGTTTAATTATTTAGTGCAAATATGTGCTAAGCACTATTCTAATAGGCAATTGGAATCATTCAATAAATAAAAATACAAAAAATCACATTGCTTGAGGACCATACATTTTACATATTATATATTTTAAAATAATAATATATATATACTCAAGTGTGAGTCAAAATTATTGACAATCTTCATTTCCTCTTCATTTCCTCTAAACTTTTAGGTACTTTCATATTTCAAAATCAAATAAAAATGTTTTCTTCTAATATATTATTTATATTATGTCAAGATTAGCATTCTAAAAGTAATATTTTATTGGAAGCCTTAAATTAAGCTCTCGTTGATTTCAAATTCATGTTTCCTTCTTGACAGTTACATTTCTATAGCTAGAAATTTCTTTTCCTATTTTTGTTCTCTGATCATGGATCTTGGGCTCCCTCTGCTGGCCAGCAGCATTAGCAGGCGAAAGCTAAACAGAAAAAGCTCAGCCAAGGCCCTACCTACTTACTTATCTATTCCCCCATTCATTCAGTCAAAAAGCACTTACTGAATGCCTGTTATATGCCAGGAACCATGGTAGATATTGAAAATACCAAAGAAATAAAACACAATACCAGTCGTTGATATCGTCCTATTCTTTTCATCATAAAATTACCAAGTCACAAAAGATTTCTTGAACCTAAGACTCATGAAAAAGTGCCAACACTCTCCAAGAAAAGATAATTAATTGGTATGTATTTATGCTGAACTACAAAAATAACTATGTCTCCATGGAAAACAGAAAACTCTTATACAATACCGTCTGGAAAGTACTGAAATAAATTTCAAATTTCCATAAACTACTTTGATTGGAATACAGTAAGAGATCTGACACTAAAAGAGAAAAGTGATTTAAGAAGTCTTAGATGAAATTGTGGTCAGTTGTCCCAAGATAAATCAGATATGATCTTGATTCTTCCCTAACTTAGACTTGATTTAAAGATTCACATCACTGCAAGATTATGCTTTACAAAATAAAAATTATTGCACACACTTTCTTTTTCCCCCCTTAATTACATAACTAGCAGTTATCTTATTGATGTGGTGAGCAAACATGATATTTCAGGAATGATATTCCTAAAATGAACATTATCTACATCTAAAGTTTTAATCACAAATGCCCATGCCAGACAGCTAGAATTAGAACACTGCTTAAGCATCGACTAGTGAGTCAGTACAACACACAAACTCACTTTTTTTTATCCAAGAAGTTTTGTCTCTTTGAGCTGTGAGAGTATAAAAATTATAGAAACATGAGAAACTATAGAGGTGGGAATTTTAAGATAAATTAAGATGTTAGAACTTTCTAAAAGCTTCTCTATCCCCACCCTTTTTTAAAATCAAAACCTGCAGTTGTATTTGTCTTTACTAGTAGGCTCTACCCAACAGAAGGTCACATCCCCTCTTTAAAAATTCACTGTGATGCATCAGTTATACAGTGTAGCTTAAACTTAGTCCAACGCTTTTTACATTGTTATACTGTAATAGGACGTCACAGTGGAGAAGGGACACACCTGGGGGATATTTTGACATCCTTTATGGACCTGTTTGACTGTCAAGTGATCAGAGGTGCTATTGATGCAAACTGGGCTAGTTCTGTTAAAGTCCTGTGACCTATAGGAAAGTTCAACACAGCCTACGTGACTTGTAAATACACCACCAGATTTCATGTAAAACAAATACATCTTAGCCTAGAATATAATTCATTTTTATCTATAACAAAATTAATTTTTGTACGTTAATATTCATGAACTATTTTAAGCCTAAATATTCCTTTTTTTTGAAGATGCCTGCAAAGTCTTAACTATCAAACAAGAAATATGCTGTTTGCAAAGAAAATGATTACAAATGCTCTTTTTCTATTACATGATGTTGAAATAAGATCTAGTAAGGTGGGAAGATTGTACTTTTTGTCCAAACTTTTCCAAGAGTTGATCACCATTGCAGAAAACGATGTTCTAAAAAGGCAACACCACTCATAGCACTTGAGCCAATAGTACATACCTGTGTCATCCACATTGGTAGCCGATGTAAATATTTTTCAGTGAAAATGTAAAATACCATTAATCTTAACATACTTGCAAAGCAAATATCCCATCACATTAATAATTCTATTAAGTTTGTGGTGCAATAATAAGCAATCTATTATGAAAATTACCAACTGAAATTACTTGGAATTCCCAGTTATTTTTTAATCTAGCTTTTCTATGTGACAGTTGGAGATCTCCCACAAAACTCCTCTATTGCCCCCTGTACTGTTATTTCTTTTTTAAATAGAGCTCTAATTTTTGTTGACTACCAGAATGTTTGGTCTCTGTGGTCCTTTTAGATACTGAAGAAAGAATGTATATCTCAACATGTAGTTTCAAGATACAATTTACTTTCTGAAATATTCTGTCTCAACTCCAACCCAAGCAACACAGGGAATTATTTTTACGCACACGCATAAACAAAGTCTTGGTTATTTGCAAGAATATCACACTGTCTCATTTTCTCACTTCAGCAATCTGTAATTTGTCTTGACATGTTATCCCTACTGCAATTAAGGTTATTTCCCTCTTTTTTCTTATCATATATAGACAGGTCTAGTCTATCATTACTTATCCTAGCATAGTTTTTATTCTACTGTCCACCATACCTCTGCTCTTTAATTTTCCTCTAATTCATGTCAGTTGAAATTTTAATTTAGCTTCTTCAAAAATTCTGACTTAGTAATTACTAGGAGGTAAAAACATTGGACTAATTCATCTTCGCTACTTGTATAGTCATGCTAAGCATTATATACTGAAATATAAACTGTGTATTATACCTTTTTGACTTCTAACTTAAAGTAAGAACATTATTTTTTATTTCGTATCATTTCATTTTTAACTTATGTGTACAGGTAGGTTATGTCACAAATTTAATTTCAGAAAAGGAAATATTTATTATAAAAAGAGGTCTTCAGTTCCCAAAAGAACAAAAGGTACATACTATTTTATTAACTTCCCACTCTTGGATCCCTTCTCCCTCTTCTGTGACCTTATCTGTTCAAGGTTCATTCAGGGTGCTCTGCAATTAAGTTTTGCAAATGTTGCTGCCTCTGAAAGTCTCTTCTCTGAAATCCTATAGCTATACTTACTACAAGTAACTGGCACTTAATCTCATACTGTTTTGAACTACCACTGCTGATTTGGGGTGTGCGTATGTGTGTGTGTAATTGTCTCTCAACTAGACTACAAGTTTAGAGAAGCAAAATTGTTGCCATTACCTTTTGAACCCAATCATTATACTCTGCACTAAGTTAGAACTCAATAAATTCTGGTTGAGTCAATAAACTAACGTCTAAACTTTATATGGTAGAATCATTTTTGGCACACCCCTCTACCATAATGCTTGTCAGATCAAACCTCAATTACTTCTTTATATGTCTGACTCTCGGAAACTATTAGATCCCTAGAGAAGGGGGGCATAATTATTCACCTTTGTAATCACAGCATTTAAGAAGACTGACTAGTTAACAGAAATCATCCAGTGAGTGTTTATGAATGACTAGATGAATGTATTAATTAAGCTCATAAGAATGTTTCTGATGTAACTATAAATTACATGAGAGAAATTCATAAGACTGAGTACAATTAAATTCACCATGATAGAGTCTAGTTATTGATTCTTAATTCAATAGTTTAATTATTTAGTGCAAATATGTGCTAAGCACTATTCTAATAGGCAATTGGAATCATTCAATAAATAAAAATACAAAAAATCACATTGCTTGAGGACCATACATTTTACATATTATATATTTTAAAATAATAATATATATATACTCAAGTGTGAGTCAAAATTATTGACAATCTTCATTTCCTCTTCATTTCCTCTAAACTTTTAGGTACTTTCATATTTCAAAATCAAATAAAAATGTTTTCTTCTAATATATTATTTATATTATGTCAAGATTAGCATTCTAAAAGTAATATTTTATTGGAAGCCTTAAATTAAGCTCTCGTTGATTTCAAATTCATGTTTCCTTCTTGACAGTTACATTTCTATAGCTAGAAATTTCTTTTCCTATTTTTGTTCTCTGATCATGGATCTTGGGCTCCCTCTGCTGGCCAGCAGCATTAGCAGGCGAAAGCTAAACAGAAAAAGCTCAGCCAAGGCCCTACCTACTTACTTATCTATTCCCCCATTCATTCAGTCAAAAAGCACTTACTGAATGCCTGTTATATGCCAGGAACCATGGTAGATATTGAAAATACCAAAGAAATAAAACACAATACCAGTCGTTGATATCGTCCTATTCTTTTCATCATAAAATTACCAAGTCACAAAAGATTTCTTGAACCTAAGACTCATGAAAAAGTGCCAACACTCTCCAAGAAAAGATAATTAATTGGTATGTATTTATGCTGAACTACAAAAATAACTATGTCTCCATGGAAAACAGAAAACTCTTATACAATACCGTCTGGAAAGTACTGAAATAAATTTCAAATTTCCATAAACTACTTTGATTGGAATACAGTAAGAGATCTGACACTAAAAGAGAAAAGTGATTTAAGAAGTCTTAGATGAAATTGTGGTCAGTTGTCCCAAGATAAATCAGATATGATCTTGATTCTTCCCTAACTTAGACTTGATTTAAAGATTCACATCACTGCAAGATTATGCTTTACAAAATAAAAATTATTGCACACACTTTCTTTTTCCCCCCTTAATTACATAACTAGCAGTTATCTTATTGATGTGGTGAGCAAACATGATATTTCAGGAATGATATTCCTAAAATGAACATTATCTACATCTAAAGTTTTAATCACAAATGCCCATGCCAGACAGCTAGAATTAGAACACTGCTTAAGCATCGACTAGTGAGTCAGTACAACACACAAACTCACTTTTTTTTATCCAAGAAGTTTTGTCTCTTTGAGCTGTGAGAGTATAAAAATTATAGAAACATGAGAAACTATAGAGGTGGGAATTTTAAGATAAATTAAGATGTTAGAACTTTCTAAAAGCTTCTCTATCCCCACCCTTTTTTAAAATCAAAACCTGCAGTTGTATTTGTCTTTACTAGTAGGCTCTACCCAACAGAAGGTCACATCCCCTCTTTAAAAATTCACTGTGATGCATCAGTTATACAGTGTAGCTTAAACTTAGTCCAACGCTTTTTACATTGTTATACTGTAATAGGACGTCACAGTGGAGAAGGGACACACCTGGGGGATATTTTGACATCCTTTATGGACCTGTTTGACTGTCAAGTGATCAGAGGTGCTATTGATGCAAACTGGGCTAGTTCTGTTAAAGTCCTGTGACCTATAGGAAAGTTCAACACAGCCTACGTGACTTGTAAATACACCACCAGATTTCATGTAAAACAAATACATCTTAGCCTAGAATATAATTCATTTTTATCTATAACAAAATTAATTTTTGTACGTTAATATTCATGAACTATTTTAAGCCTAAATATTCCTTTTTTTTGAAGATGCCTGCAAAGTCTTAACTATCAAACAAGAAATATGCTGTTTGCAAAGAAAATGATTACAAATGCTCTTTTTCTATTACATGATGTTGAAATAAGATCTAGTAAGGTGGGAAGATTGTACTTTTTGTCCAAACTTTTCCAAGAGTTGATCACCATTGCAGAAAACGATGTTCTAAAAAGGCAACACCACTCATAGCACTTGAGCCAATAGTACATACCTGTGTCATCCACATTGGTAGCCGATGTAAATATTTTTCAGTGAAAATGTAAAATACCATTAATCTTAACATACTTGCAAAGCAAATATCCCATCACATTAATAATTCTATTAAGTTTGTGGTGCAATAATAAGCAATCTATTATGAAAATTACCAACTGAAATTACTTGGAATTCCCAGTTATTTTTTAATCTAGCTTTTCTATGTGACAGTTGGAGATCTCCCACAAAACTCCTCTATTGCCCCCTGTACTGTTATTTCTTTTTTAAATAGAGCTCTAATTTTTGTTGACTACCAGAATGTTTGGTCTCTGTGGTCCTTTTAGATACTGAAGAAAGAATGTATATCTCAACATGTAGTTTCAAGATACAATTTACTTTCTGAAATATTCTGTCTCAACTCCAACCCAAGCAACACAGGGAATTATTTTTACGCACACGCATAAACAAAGTCTTGGTTATTTGCAAGAATATCACACTGTCTCATTTTCTCACTTCAGCAATCTGTAATTTGTCTTGACATGTTATCCCTACTGCAATTAAGGTTATTTCCCTCTTTTTTCTTATCATATATAGACAGGTCTAGTCTATCATTACTTATCCTAGCATAGTTTTTATTCTACTGTCCACCATACCTCTGCTCTTTAATTTTCCTCTAATTCATGTCAGTTGAAATTTTAATTTAGCTTCTTCAAAAATTCTGACTTAGTAATTACTAGGAGGTAAAAACATTGGACTAATTCATCTTCGCTACTTGTATAGTCATGCTAAGCATTATATACTGAAATATAAACTGTGTATTATACCTTTTTGACTTCTAACTTAAAGTAAGAACATTATTTTTTATTTCGTATCATTTCATTTTTAACTTATGTGTACAGGTAGGTTATGTCACAAATTTAATTTCAGAAAAGGAAATATTTATTATAAAAAGAGGTCTTCAGTTCCCAAAAGAACAAAAGGTACATACTATTTTATTAACTTCCCACTCTTGGATCCCTTCTCCCTCTTCTGTGACCTTATCTGTTCAAGGTTCATTCAGGGTGCTCTGCAATTAAGTTTTGCAAATGTTGCTGCCTCTGAAAGTCTCTTCTCTGAAATCCTATAGCTATACTTACTACAAGTAACTGGCACTTAATCTCATACTGTTTTGAACTACCACTGCTGATTTGGGGTGTGCGTATGTGTGTGTGTAATTGTCTCTCAACTAGACTACAAGTTTAGAGAAGCAAAATTGTTGCCATTACCTTTTGAACCCAATCATTATACTCTGCACTAAGTTAGAACTCAATAAATTCTGGTTGAGTCAATAAACTAACGTCTAAACTTTATATGGTAGAATCATTTTTGGCACACCCCTCTACCATAATGCTTGTCAGATCAAACCTCAATTACTTCTTTATATGTCTGACTCTCGGAAACTATTAGATCCCTAGAGAAGGGGGGCATAATTATTCACCTTTGTAATCACAGCATTTAAGAAGACTGACTAGTTAACAGAAATCATCCAGTGAGTGTTTATGAATGACTAGATGAATGTATTAATTAAGCTCATAAGAATGTTTCTGATGTAACTATAAATTACATGAGAGAAATTCATAAGACTGAGTACAATTAAATTCACCATGATAGAGAAAATCCCAGAATGAAGGTTGCTAGAATTTTACCTTTCTCTTCACATTATCATTTTTTTCTGACTTCACATCAAATTTTCGATCCTCTTCTCTGCAGAAATGTTCTCTACAAAGTGTAGAAAATTGTCTAAGAGGAAATAAAAAAAAATCAAGCCCATGCTGATGCTAGAAAGATTTTATTCTATTCCAAAAATGGGAGGAATTATATTCAAGGACTAACTTGTGTAGGATTGGAATTCATTCTAAACATCTGATGGAATTTATTCTAATTCAGTTAAGTACAAATGCATCATCGTGAAATCAGTATATGCTCTAAATGGCATCTGATAGTATTAGAATCATTAACATTCACTGTAGAAATTTTAAAAAGAAAAACAGATACACTCAAAATTTAAATCATCTATGTGAACATAACAAAGATTATCACTCTTTCTGAATATTTTGTGGTTTTTATCCATGTATATGTCAACAATTTTACAGAATTGAGATCACAAACAGAAACAGGTGGGAGGGTTTAATTTTTATATTGTAATCAGTGGTTAAAATAAAATCTAATACATAGGCTCCCAAATTTTTAGTCTCAGGATCCCTTTTCACTCAAAAATTATCGAGACCCCCAAAAGGCTTTGTAAATTAAAACTAACAATTTTTTTCTAGACACATATAACTTACCAAGATTGAATCAGGAAGAAATAGAAAGCCTGAATAGACCAATAACAAGCAACAAAATTGAATCAGTAATAAAAAGTCTCCCAAAAAAGAAAGACCCAGGCACCAATGGCTTTATTTCTGAATTTTATAAAACTTAATAACTATCCTTGATTCTCCTCAAACTACGTCTAAAGATTAAAAGGAAGGGAGTCTCAGGACCAGCAGTTGGCCTAATGGCCATGTCAATGGACTCCGATGTAGTCGACCACAGTTCGAGTCTCTGACCCGGTGGCTTAAACTCATGCCGGGCACATGTGCATGCATGTCCAAGATCCCAAGAGGAGAATTGAGAAGGGATTGCAGCATGGCCATCCACCCTGGGGAGTTATTTCTTGCCTTCTGTCTCTCTGTAGCTTTCTGGCAAGTGCACCCCCCGTAACAAAAATCTCTAAAAAAAAAAAAAAAAAAAAGATACAAAATCAACATACAAAAGTTGCTAGCATTTTTATACACTAACAATGAACATACTGAGATAAAATGGAAGAAAGCAATCCCACTTCCAATACCCACAAAAACAATAAGATACTTGGGAATAAACCTAACCAAAGAAGTAAAATTCTTCTATGAGAAAAACTGAAAAACTTTACAAAGACACTGAAAAGAATATAAAAAGTGGGAAAATATCCCATGTTCCTGGATTATAAGAATAAATATAATGGGACCAGCAGTTAGCGTAATGGCTATGTTGCTGGACTCCCATGTAGTCAACCGCGGTTTGAGTACCGGACCTGGTGGCTTAAAATTCACGCTGGGCGCGTATGCGTGCGTGCCCAAGATCCAGAGAGGAGAATGGAGGAGAAGGGATTATGGCGTGGCCATACCCCCCTGGGGGGTGATTTCTCGCTTTCTGTCTCTCTGTCTGTCTCTCTCTGTCTAGCGAGCACACATGCCCTAAGACAAAAACCTCTCCAAAAAAAAAAAAAAAAAAAGAATAAATATAATCAAAATGTCAATCCTACCCAAATTAATCTATAAGTTCAATGCAATTCCCAGAGACGCAAATGCAACTACCAGGATATTCTTCACAGAAACAGAAAAAGTAATCATAAAATTTGCCTAGAATTATAAAAGGCCCCATATCACCAAAGCAATACTGTGCAAAAAGAATAAAGTAGGACCACATCTCACTTCCTGACCTCAAAATGTATAAAGCTGTGAAAATGAAACAGCATGGTATTGATCCAAAAACAGGCAAGTAAACCAATGGAACAGAATTGGAAGCCCAAAAATGAACCCCAAAACATACAGCCAGCTGATTTTTGACAAAAAGAACAAGATAATCCAGTGAGAAAAAGAAAATATCTTAAGCAAATGGTGCTGGGGAAGCTGGATATCCACCTGCAGAAGAATGAAACTAAACCCATCTCTCTCACCATTAACAAAAATCAACTAAAAATGCATCAAAGATCTAAACATAAATCCTCAAACTATAAACCTACTGGGAGAAAACTCTTGGAGACCTAGAAGTAGGCAAATCCTTCTTAAGGAAGATCCCTAAAGCACGGGCAATAGTTCCAAAAATAGACAAGTGAAACATTAGGCTTCAACACACCAAAAGAAACAATAGTCCTACCTTTTCCTCCACCCAGATAGGACAAGCAAATCACCAGCCATCTATATCTGAGTTCATCTATATCTGAGTTCAGAGAAGCTCTAACACACCACGCGGTTTTTATTTCCTGCTTTAAATTTGTTTTTATCTTTTTAAATTGTTTTTGTCTTGTTTTTCTTTTCTTTTCTTTTGTTGTCTTTCCCTTTTCCTTTTCTTTTTACCTTCCTCACTTTCTGCTCAGCCTCTACACAATGAGGTCTAGGTGCACAGTAGTCAAATATCTGAATACTTTTAGGTCAGACTAATCTTCTATTTCCATTAATCTGCTGTATAAAGGGAGAAAAATGGTATTCTTTAGATTGTAGGCCACCTCCTCCTACATGCCTCTGAAAACTCAAATTTAACTGCAAACACTAGGAAAAAAAATGTATAATCCATCAGATGATCAGAAACCACAAAAGAGGCACAAGAAATATGAAAAAAAAAAAAAAAACAAGAAAATACCTCTCACCTAAGGGAAAAGAATAACTCCTGATCCTCCATAGACAATACAATCTGGAAATGTCAGATAAAAAATTTAGAATATTCATAGTGACAAAGGTAACAGAGATGCAGGAGAAGAAAGACAATAAATGCTCAAAGATGCAGGAGAAAGGAGACAATGAGTTCCAGGAGGTGAGGAAGTTCTTGCACTATCTGAAAGAGAAAATACATACCAAAAATATAAACAAGCAGAATTGTTGGAGATAAAAGGTGAAATACATAAAATCAAAACCTCCCTTGAAAGTATTAAAAGCAGATTAGATCATGCAGAAGATCGAATCTCAGATGTAGAAAATAGAACCTTTGACCTAGAAAACTTCACCAAAAAGACTGAGAAAATAATATCCTCATTTTTTTTCTCAAAAAATGAGAATAACATACAAGTAATACCAGATACCATTAAATGGCCAAACATCTGGATCATCAGTACTCCAGAAGGTGAAGAAACTAACAAGGGCATTGAAAGAGATATTGACCTGCAAGAGATGAGGAAGTCCTTCCATGATATGAAAGAATTGGATACCATAAAGAAGAATCACATAGAACTGTTGGATATGAAACCTGTAATACAGGAAATCTAAACCTCCCTCGAAAGTATTAAAAGTAGGTCAGACCATGCAGAAGATCAAATCTTGTAAGTAGAAGGCAAAACCTTTGACCTAGAAAAAGTTATCCAAAATACTAAAATAAACAGCCAAGAAAAATGAAGATAATATACAAGAAATAATAGATACCATGAAACACCCAAACATTTGAATAATTGGTATCCGAGAGGGTGAAGGCACTAATAAGGGCATTGATAATCTACTCCATGAAATCCTGGAAGAAAACTTTCTATGTCTAGACAGTCCTCAAACATTCAGACCCAAGAAATACCAAGAACCCCAAATAGAATCAATCCAAGAAGATCCTCTCCATGGCATTTGATACTAAGATTGGCCAAAACCACAGATAAAGACAAGATACTAAAATGGGCAAGAGAGAAATGTCAAGTCACTTACAAAGGATATTCCATCAGGCTAACACTGGACCTCTCATCACATACAATGCAAGCAAGGTAAAAATGAGGAAATACATTCAAAGTGTTAGATGAAAAACAATTACAGTCAAGAATACTATACCTGGCAAGATAATCCTTCTTGGAAAACAAGATTAAAATGTTCTCTGATAAACAAAACCTGAAAATATTACCAATTCCAGACCAGCTCTTCAAGAAATTCTAAAAGGAGTACTATACCAGGAAAACTAAAGACAGACAGACAGCAATAAGAGAACAAAAACCACCCAAGAATATGGCAAACTTAATGGTAGGGACAATCCTGGAAATGTCAATAATGTTGACTGGTAATGGAATAAATTCTCTGATCAAGAGACAGAGACTGGCTGAATGGATTAAAAATCAGAAACCCTCCATCTGCTGCCTACAAGAAACCCATCTCATGGATAAAAACATACATAGATTAGAAGTGAAGGGCTGGAGGGACCAGGAGTTGGAGTAATAGTTATGCCATTGGACTCCCATGCAGTTGACTATCATCCTTCCTCCTTGGACTCCAGGTTGGTTGCCTGGGACTTTAAGGCGAACCCACACCCCTCCCCACCCGAAACCCGGATCGAGCCGGCCAGCAGTTCCGGACCCCAGGCGGACTGAGGCTGCAGGCCCGACCCTACCGCAACTCCACGTATCCCCACCATCCTTCCTCCTTGGACTCCAGGTTGGTTGCCTGGGACTTTAAGGCGAACCCACACCCCTCCCCACCCGAAACCCGGATCGAGCCGGCCAGCAGTTCCGGACACCAGGCGGACTGAGGCTGCAGGCCCGACCAACCTGGTACTGTCATTCATTGTCTGATCCATTTCCACTAGCCTTTGGAGTGTTTGAATTTTGGTGAGTTGAGTAGCGCGCGGTGCGCGATTTTCTTTTTCCATTTTGTTTTTCTTTGCTCTTGGGGTGTTGCTTGTTTGGTCAGTTGAAGGCTCACTACTCCTTAGAAACAGCGAGCACTTTGGGCCTTCCAGGGCTAGTGGCAACAGTTAATGGTAATTGTGAGTAATAGGTAGGCCAACCATAAGAGAAATCATCAATCTTCTAAGCCTGTACAACTTTTATGAATCAGAGATACCTGAAATAAGTTGGCAAGAAACATATAGATTACCTGATGACTAAAAACAATCGCAAAGGCTCAAGAAATATGAGCAACCAACAAAAGGCCTCTCCGTCAAGGGAAATCATCAATCCTACATCACCCACAGTCAATACAATGGACGTCGTGGACATGTCTGATAAGGAATTCAGAATATTTGTAGTGACCAAACTAACT